GTCAACTATGCCCTTGTAGCATGAAAGCAGTGTGTAACCAATGACCATGGCTGTTCCCCAATAAAGTTAAAACATTTTTTTTAATTTTTAAAAGCTTTTTAAAGATGCCTTTAGTAAAAAACCCAAATCCAGCCCTCTGCTGTGCCAGTTGTCACACTGTACTGTATTATTTGTTTCCTGAACTATGCAGGATTCCTTGATAACCAGAGCTTTTCTTTTTGACTTTTATTATGGAAAATTTCAAATTTTTACAAAATAAATAAACTCTCATGTATCCATTGCCCAGCTTCCACAATTATAAACATTCTGTCACTCTTTTCCTATTGTAATTTCAAGGAAAAAAATTTAATTATGGTAAAATATACATAGCATAGAATTTGCTGCCTTAACCATTTTTAAGTGTAGAGTTCAGTGCCATTAAGTACATTCACATTGTTGTGCAACCATCACCACTATCCATCCCCAGAACTTTTATCGTCTTGCAGAGCAAACTCTATATCCATTCAACAACTCCCCATTCTCCCTCCCTCCAGCCCCTGGCAACCGCCCTTCTCCTTTCTCTCTCTGTGAAATTGACTACTCTAGATATAGTGGAATCAGACAGCATTTGCCCTTTTGTTACTGGCTTGTTTCACTCAGCATAATGTCTCCAAGGTTCATCCATGTTGTAGCATGTGCCAGAAATTCCTGCCTTTTTAAGGCTGAATAATATTTCTTTGTATGTATATTTTGTTTATCTGTTCATCAGTGGACACTTGGGTGGCTTCCATCTTTTGGCTATTGTAAATACAGCTGCTATAAACATAACATTCTGCCATTCTTGTATCATTTACACGTTCATCCACTCCCCACCTCTCACTGGATTATTAGTATTACTCAGAGGAGCTGTATTTTATTAATCTTTGTATTCTCCTAACACAAAGCCTGGCACATAGTAGGTGTTATTTTTTTTAATGTTTGTATGAATCTTCCAAAATTATCTGGGTGTTTTTTTTTTAATTTTAAGCAAGGTCCATAAAGAGAAGACATCTCCTTTTTTTCTTAGACTCACAGAGGAAATGTGCACATAAAATTTTGATAAAAATTAAATTTGTGAATGAAAACCGGAATGTAATACTTTCAGTATGGATCAAGAGAAGTTGCTAGAGCACCTGATGGCAGATTTTATTTGTATGCCAGTACCCACAATGCTGTGGGTAAAAACCATTTATTTCTGGAAGCATTAAAAACCATTGGAAGCACCAACCTCACCTATTAAGGATTAACTCATTAATAATGGAATTTTCAATTGATTCTATATGTCAAGAAGATAATCTGAGAGTAAAACTTGCCTTTTGTAACCAAGTCCTTGATAGGGTTAAGCAGCTTTGTTTAACTGTCGTTCGGGTCATGGATGGAAAACTCGACTAATGTGATCTAAGCTTGAAAGCTCACGGCCTGACTTTCTTGAATTAATGTCGATATCCGCCAGTAGCCCAGCACCTACAGTGTCACCTAAGAAGACAAAAGGTTTAACCAGCCTAACAGGAGAACTAAATCAGCACTTCTTACAAAGGAGGGAATTAACAAGACACCTTGCTTACTGCTCTCCACTGCAGAGTGGAGTGGGGGCAGCCATTGTAACTACAGGAAGTGGGATGGGCAGGCTGGTGTAAATGGCTTGGCATGTGGGGTTGGGCCCGTGACCGAAAGAGCCTTCCCAACAGGCTTGCCTGCTCCCAGGAGCTGTTTGTCTCAGAGAGGCTGGTGCTTTGAGTGTCCAGCAGGAGAACCTGAGGGGTCCCCCTTTGAAGAGAACGCTCTTGCTCTCCAGCAGATGCCCAAACAGTTACAACTGAGGCCTCAGGAAAAACCCATGTCTGCAGTGGACTGCATGAGTGATGGTGACAGCTGGGCTTTGGGGGCCACCCAAGTACCCCGATTCTGCCATTTATGGGTTATGTGACCTTGGGCAAGTTATTTTATACAGGACTCTGGGTGACAGTGTCACTGCCTTTCAGGACTCGGATACAACAGTTGCTCTGAGTGGGTGGGATTCGCTCACCTAACACCCGTGCACCCTTCCAGGCCCCGGGGCCACATGCCCACTTCTCACATTCCCTGCCCTGCTGCTCTGGGAGGATTAGCCGTTTCCTCTGTGTGGTGGTATCTGTTTGACCAACACTCCTCATGTTGTTCTGCAAGCTCTTTGCAGAAAAAGCCTCATTGTCACGTTTCTCCTGACTTTCCCTTCTGTGTCCATTTCCTTTTACCCGTTTTTATAGTGCAGACATCTGATCCAGGGGATGTCACCTCCAATCAGCAGACAACTGGCCCAAAATGTTCGTGTCTCCCCAAAGATGAGATTCTTTCTGCTCTCCTGCAGCTAAGTCCTGCCTCAAGCTACCCTCACACACATATCTGGTTGCAAACTCGCTTGAATTTCTTGGTCCTTCAGCAGGTGTTTCCTTCCTGGCAATGCTGGGCCAAAGCTCCAGGAGAGAATGCCAACTCAGTGAGCACTTCCCTCCCAGACACAAGTATCAGTCACCTGGCATTGTGCTCTGAGACCTCTTTCCCCATCAGGCACACAGTGTTTCGGCCACACTGAGACCACAGGACTCCTGTGACAGAAACCAGAGTCAAGCTCATTCTGTGGTTCTTTAACCAACGTCCCTGAGCTTCTAAGTGGTGCTAGGCTCTGCGCTGTCCCCAGCGAATGTGGCGATGAGTCCCGCAGGGCCTGGGGCATGTGATCAGGAGATGCACTTGGAGCATAAGGTGTGTGGGGGAGCAGAGCAAAGGGACGTGAAGGGACTCCGGAGAAGAAAGCCAGGGTCAGCATAGGGAGGGTGTTTGCTCAGCTAAGGAGTTAAGACTATTTCTTTCCTCTCTCACCCAGGACCCCATGTGTATGTCATACTTGCTGCTAGGTATATAATATTGAGCAAAACAGGTACCGTTCCTGCCCAGATGGAGCATATAATCTAGTAGAAGAAACAGACATTAACCAAATTATCATGCAAATGTAACATCTGTGCAATCAAAACTCTTTAGCAGGACAGTGACATGATGCAACTTGTGTTTGAGAAATTACTCTGCCCAGAAGAATTGGAGTAACTGGGGGGAATGGAGCAGGAGGCAGACAGAGTTAAACCTCTTCCACTGTCATCAGGCCTGTGCCAGGGTCGAGGGCAGAGAGCGGGGACAAACACGGGACACTTCACTGGTGAAATGGGAAAGGCTTAGGAAGCCTGATACGTCTACTGTGGGTAGCTATGGAGAGAGAGAGAGAGAGAGAGAGAAGGAAACGAGCAAGGAAAGGAGGGAGACTGATTTGGGGTGCAGTCCAAATGGGGTAATAATTGTGGCTTTGGGCCATTTTGAGCTTGAAGTGCTAGTGGGCCATCTAGGTGGGGATGGTGACGTATGGGTTTGGAGCTCGCTAATGTCTGAGCTGATGATATTTATTAGGAGTCATTCGGTGTATGAGTTCCACTGTGCCCATCATAGAGGGGGTCACCCGGAGAGAGAATTAATTGTCCTGCTGTTGTCCCAAAGGTGAGAAGCAAAACTTCAGGCCAGGGAATAGCATTCTATTTGGGCTTCTGTTGATTATCACTAGCTGATCTCTCAGCTGTTCGGCCAGGAAGGTGTAAATCCATGCAAAGTAATAAATGGCCTGAAAATTCTTTTTCCTTAGGAACTGCTTTGCTTTTTTTTCTCACAGACATTGTAAAGTTTGCATTGTTTCCCTTCTTGCTTCAGCAGGCAGGAAGCTCAGAGCTAATTTTTTAACTTAATTTTGGAAATCATATAGGACCTGTGTCTCAAGACACTCTTTCCTCAAATAATTATGTTTTATATATTTATGTCTTTTCCAGCTCTGATTTTTTTCTTTATGCGCTCATGTAAACTGCCTCAGATCCTTTGTAAAATTAGGTGGGGTGTAACTGTATAAAAATAAACATTCCCCTCACCCTATCTATTTTGGGTCATCCTTGCAGCCTATGTATAATAAGTCTGCCCAGTTGCTGAGCTAATATTGGCTAGATTTAAGCAGGTGGAACGCTTGGAGTTTACAGCAGCTAGACAGTAAATTTAACACGTAACTCATTAAAACAGGATAAAAGTGGAGCTTCAAACATCTCTGTGTTTACCACCAAGTCTGTGAAGGGCGGGGTACCTTTAATTCAGTTCAAGATATGAAAGTCTGATCTTTCAGAATTGAGAATATGCCGCCAAAATTAAAGACTCGTCTGTGTAGATGAGCACTCCAGCCACCTTCAAAGAAGGACTGAGGTGTTGACTACAAGATGGGGTATTTTTAAAGCTCAGGGTGTCATTTTCTTGACTCATAAAATGTAGTTTAGTAAAAGCAAACTTCTTTATTAAACAGCATAAGCACAACATTGACTGGATGGTAAATTTTATTTTTGATCATCCCTGCCTTTTTATGTAAATATTTTAAATTTATAATTTACTATTGGTTCAGATGACTGTATAAACTGTTTTTTGAACTGTGTCCCACAGCTGGTGCCTTAGGGACTGCAGAGGTGCTGGGAGGGGGAAGAGGGGAGACCGCCAAGCAAGGAGAGCCCAGGCCCCACCCCCTGCCCTCAGCTCCCCCCAGGGCAGCTGTTTTCTGTGGCAGGGCTCCTTCTGCATAAGGTGCCACCTGAACAAAGGGTTCCACTCCTGAAAGTGAAAAGAAACGTTTGGAAATCTTCACATCGGAGGGCCCATCCCACTGACTTGCTGTTGGGATGTGGAAATTTTGGAATCTGGCCTTTGGTTCCATCTCTGCCTGCTACCCGCCCTGTGACTTTTGGGGGCCGACTTCCTCTCTGACACAGCTTCCTCATCCAGGGGATAGAATGCCATTGATGAAAATAGCCACTTCCCCAGGTACACGAGGGTCTGGTTAATCTAACGAGATGTAGAAGCGCCATGTAACCGAGTTTAAGACCAACCACTCTCCGTCCATTCCCCTAACCATCCTCTCCCCTCTGCGTTCCCAGGAGGAGCCAATCACCTTCTGTGAGGAAGCCTTCGTGTCCCACTATCGCTCTGGAGCCATGAGGCAGTTCCTGCAGAATGCCACACAGCTGCAGCTCTTCAAACAGGTGCCTGGCCGCCCTAGCTTGGCCTGCGTCTGGATTCCGGGTGGGCTCCCTGTCCTCACGGACCACTGGGGCCTCAGGCATGAATGGGACTCAGGCCTCAGCCGGAAGAGGCTCAGGGTCCTGGAGGGGCACTGGCCGCGGAGGGTGGTCCGCAGCCAGACTGACCCTTGCAGACGTGTTGTGTGGTTTTACAAGTTATCACCAACATGCAAAACATGCAGCCAGTGTTCAGAAACTCGCCTTTTTTAAACTCACAGTTCCCAAAGCCCTTTCCTGTCTCAGGAAACATGGTAGTTCTTCGGTCATACACTAGCGTGCCCAGCTGAAGGGTGGTTTTTTCCTTGTTTCTTGGTGCACGCTGTTATGTTTTTGTTCTTTCTTTCTGTAGTTTATTGATGGCAGACTGGACCTTCTCAATTCGGGCGAAGGTTTCAGTGATGTTTTTGAAGAGGAGATCAACATGGGCGAGTATGCTGGTGAGAAGCCTTTCGTTTTCCTTTCTGTGGGATTGGGGCGTGTTCGCAAGGAGCGGCGGGGACTTTTTTTTTTTCCTTCAATGGCTGTTAGGGAGGCTGAACTGATTTCAGCCCTGGCCTTGAAGTGTTTGAGGAACCCCTCTTCATTTTATGATGAGATGCACATTGGCCCACCTGAAATCCTCTGTCCTGGGGTCAGTTGCTCCTGGGGGGTAAGGGGGGGTAGTTAGACATAGTGGCTGCACATTCAGTGGGAAGCACACAGGGCGTCACGTTAGTGGGTCAGGACACTGCCTCCTTAAGCCGTGATACCCTGGTCGAGTCATTTCACCGCTCTCTGCTGATGCGCTGCTATCTGCACTGAGAGTAACTGCCTGCCTCCCAGGATTCCTCCTGTGATTAAGTCCAAGTCCACAAGGAAAGGTTAGTGCAGCTGCCCGGGGCCGACCCTGGCACAGGATCAGTGCTCAGGAAACGTCTCTCTAAAATGTGAGAATCATCACACGGAGAGTGCGCGGTCTCTCCCCGCCTTTCGAACTGGAGGGCTCATCCTCTCATTTTTCAGAGGAGGCATCTGAAGCCCAGAGAGGTGTTAGTGGCTGCCCCTGCCTCCTGAATCCCCATCGGCCTTCTTTCCAAGTCCCAGAGCCTCGGTCTTTGGCAATGAAGTAAAAACTAAGAGGAAAATAATAATAATCGTGCCGCTGCCCCCTTCTTGTGGCTGAGCGTGTGTCTGGTCTGGACTTGGCTGATAATGCACCTGGCGGTCCATAAACTCATAGAGTCAGCATCCGCTCCCCTACAGAACCCCTGTTACAGGCCCAGCCAGGCTGTGCTGCATGGAAGGCACGATGAATCAATAACACCAGCGTGCAAGTCCGCAGACAGCAGTAGGGGTCACTACTGGGCATTTCCTGAGCACCCGCCGTGTCCAGAGCTCTGGGGAGTAAGAAGTGAAGGACCCAGTCCTGCCCTCGAGGAGCCTTTAGCCGGGTAGGAGAAAGACATGCATCACTAAGGACAAATACAGATTAAACCATCGCAGGAAAAGGAGTAGAAACAGGTTTTGTGCAGTTAGAGCAGGGCTCTAAGGATTCTCACTGTGTCACGGGAAAGCTTCACACAGGAGGCGGGTTTGAGGAGCGTTCTAACAGTTGAATATTTGTTCTGAAGGGGTGGGCTTTATGTGTCAAGCCATTGAGAGCGCCTAGAAAAGCTGCCTGCTGATAAGACCTCCTTATCCCACCAGAGAAAATGAACAGATTCCCCCAACAACGCCTCCTTTCTTTTTCCCTGTCACCACGTAAGAGCACTGAGCACCGAGTATGTGTCCTGCCGGGTGCTTCCCCTGGGACACATGGCCCTGTGACTCCTGCCCCAGGTGGCTCACAGGATTTCAGAGAAGGACTTCTGAATGAGAGTTACCTACTTTTGAAGGCTGTTCAAACAAAGGAGGAGTAGGAGACACTCACAGAGGAAATGACATCTGAGCTGGCTATTGAGTGTGCTCAGCAGGGACGGTAGGGAAGGGTGGCCGGCTGAGAGGGGAGCAGCATTTACGAGGAATGGAAGACTGCGAGGATGCCTGGTCAGGGAGCCCAGGGTGGCTTCTCCAGGTGGGAGCATAAGGCAGCACAGGATGGAGAGGCAGAGGGCGGGTGGCGCCCAGACAAGGCTGGAGAAGGGAAGCACGGCTGCTGAGGGGCCTGCCCTCTATCCAGCAGGCAGTGAGGATTTTTATTCAGGGCCATGGTAGGATCAGATCTCCGTTTGAGAAAGAAAACCTGTGGTGGCAACCGGCTGCCGCCTCCCTCAGGGGTGGGTCCTGGGGCCTCCCTGTGTTTCTCCAAGTCCTGCTTGCCAAAAGTTACATGAGGACATGTAACTTCTCTTTTAAAAAAAAAAAAAGATTTTATTGGGAATTGGGGGAGGGGAACAGCATTGGGGAATCGGGGAAGGGGAACAGACAAGTTGCTGTCCTTTTGTTCTTTAGTCTAGCTGTGGAAGACGTCGCTTCATTGGCCCATGTTGGTATTGTGATCATTACGCTCTTCCCGGGTGAGCCAGATCGGTCACTGACCTCTGGATGGCCGCTCATGGCGGCTCTTGGCAGCTCACACCAGCTCCTGGCCGCTCACGCTGGCTGCCAGCCACTCACGGTAGCTTACGGCAGCCCACTACAGCAGGGACTGCAGCCTATGCTGTCGCCGGCCACTCACAGCAGCCCAGCTCCAGGTCGAGCTGTTGTTCACCAGCTTAGCTGTAGAGGGCAGTGTCACTGGCCCTCATGTGGGATCCGAACCAGGGCCCTGCTGCACAGAGCTGGCGTCCCAAGCCAACTCCTAACCAACGTGCCACTCGGCCGGCCCCGTAACTTCTTTAAATGATAGCTTCTCTGTCTCCTCTTTCCCCAGGCAGCGATAAACTGTATCATCAGTGGCTGTCCACGGTCCGGGTAAGTGTGCACCCCCTCAGAGCCACCTGGGCCCCCCCGGCAGCCCTCCCCTTCTCCTGCCACCCACAAGGCTGTCATTCGGCCCGGGGCATTCCATTCCCTCAGCTAAAGATGCTTTTGTTTATAAAGCCAGGTGGCGACTAGCAGGATGGGCATGTTCATGGCCATCCCTCTGAGGGTGAGGAGAGCCAGGACAAGCTTCCTCACTCCAGGAAGCCGGCCAAGGCGTGTGGAATGCATGCCGTCACCTCAGAGGGCTTCTGGGTGTCTCCTTCTAGGGCCAGTGCCATTGGGAAATTTTCATGGGAAAAACCAAATGTATCCCTCTTGCTCTGCAGCGTTGTTCACAGCCAGGGCTCCTGGGAAGCTGGTGAACACATCACCCAGAGGGTTCTTCAGCCCCTCACTGTTGTTGAGAACAGTTTCTTGTTGTGTTGGAAGCCAAGTGCTCAGCACTTCAGAAGCCCCTAAAGAATTCAAATCCATGCCTTTCTCTCACATGGGTTTACCAGTGACTGTGTACTGCGGCCAGTGTGCCGGGTGCCATGCTAGGGACCGGGGGTACCATGGGGAGCAGGCACAGGCCCTGCTCTCGGGGAGCTCCCCGACTTGTTTGGGAGGGAGGCACGTAAACAGGCAACTCCAGCATAATGTGATAAGTGTTCTCTCCTGCTCATGGGCCAAGCACGCCGCTGCCAAGGCGGGTCCCTTGGAAGTGGTGCAGTTGGCCGAGAGTGAGCAATAGCTCAGTGAAAGACTTCTTTTGTTCCTCGTGTATGGCCAAACATGGCACTTGGCAAATCGTAGACAAGCAATAAGGACTTGTTGATTGATTGATAAAGAGAGTTTTACTACTCCAAAGGACCACTGAAATAGAATACTGAGTAATTTTGGAAAGCAGTATGGAATAAATGAGTAGGTGAAAATTTCATATTGTCCTACAACATAGAATGCTTTCTAGGTCAAATTGTAATGTTTTTAATTAAAGCTTAACATTTCTAAGATGGGCAGCTACCAAAACTTGTGGTAAAAGTTAACCCCAATAACTATATTATTAATACTATATCTCATTCTTTTATATACCCACTGGATCCAGTCTGTCTGTTCAGATCAGTTGGAATTATCTTTCCAAACCGCTGCAAATCTGATTATGTGATGCATTTGATTGAACGCCCTCCAGAGTGTGTCGACTCCTTCTCCCGGCCCTTCCCGAGCTGACCCCATCTGGCCTCCCAGCCCCGTTTGCAGTCCCTCCCATGGTACTCTGGCCACTAGTTACTCAGACATGCCGTGGCTTTCAGCTTCTGCATTATTTAAGGTGCTAGTTCCCACCCCTAGGCTGGCCTTATCCTTCCGATCCCCCGCGTGAACTCCTACTCATCCTTCATGGACCAGGCCCAGCGTCTCATCGTCTAAAGCCTCCTCTGGCCTTCGTGGCGATGGCCGCCTCCACGCCCCTGTGCACGCAGCCTGGACAGCTCCCACCACCTTAGGCTGTTGCTGTTTACCCTGCTGCACGCGTGGCCTGGAGGTCTTTGAAGGCAGAGACCAGCCCTCCCGGGGCTCAGTGCCCTCAGGGCCTACCAGGGCGCCCCCTCCATGAGCCCTCACAAAGCGTCTGGGCCCGTGGACCTCATAGCCAGCCATTGCCTCCTCTGTGCTGGGAGAGCCTTTCCTCCCCGCCTCTTCCTCCTCCTCTTCCTCACCCGCTCTCCTAAAGAAACTGAGCCAAGTAATCGGTATGTCAGATTTCTACTAAAGCCATGATTAACATTTATAGCTATTCATTCTTCCCTTTTCTCAAGATATTGAAGTTAAGGAAGGCAGCTTACCAGAGTGGTTAAAAAAACAACAACAGAAAACCAGGGTGAGAAAGGAAGGTGCCTGGCTGAGGGTGTCATAGTCCCAGAATAGCCAGATCATCCTGGCTAATCAGGTTTTCTGCCCCGGCTTGCCATTAGCTATAGAGTCCATCGTTATGAAACCTACCTTAATGCTCTCCGTGGTAACTAGGATATCTTGAGAAGCCATAGATTACTATGGGGGAACCCTTGCCTCAGAGAGCCCATGATGAGCTTTCCTTCCAGCCAGCGGACAGGTGCCAAGCCAAATACCAAACTCAGGGTCCCGTTCAGCTAGTTATCACCATCCTCATCCCAAACCACCCCCGCCCCCAATACCCACCCATAGTGATTCTGCTGTGGCCAGAACTAATTGCCCGGGACCAGTAACCATCTAGGCCTGTTTCTCTAATTAAATTACACACTCTTGAAGTGTTGCTTAACTCAACTAAAGAGAAGAGGTCTTTGTTTGTGTTGGCCTACCATGTCTTCCGTCCAAATTGCTAATTGACGCTTTTATTATAGAAAGGAAGTGGAGCAATTCTGAATACTGTGAAAACAAAAGCAAACCCGGCCATGAAGACTGTCTATAAGTTTGTAAGTACTGGTCTTGGTCTCAGGACCCAAAGAGATCTGTTCCTTAGCATGACGAAACTCTTAAATCTACCTGATCCTGAATAGAGATGACCGGGGCCCCTGTGCTGTTTCCTACAGCTCTCAGTGCTCTTAGGATTAGTTAGTGTGGATTTTTTATGACCAGGTCAGTGACATTTTTAATTTAAAGTGTTTCTGCCTACAGTTGCTGCAGTAGGGAAACGGGAGGCTACTGTTTTAGCTTTTAAAACGGAGGCTGGGTGGCTAAAATTCTGGCCGCTCTGTGCCTGCGTCCCTGAGACCCGGAGGCGTGGCCTCTCAGGTGTCCTGACAAACCTTTCCTATGTGTACCCCTGTTATTTTGTCAAAATAAAGCAGCTCCTCCTTTGCAGGTTACTGAAGAATGTTCATGGTGGGTCACACCCCCTAATTTTTGTCCCAAATTCATCATCTCTCTCATCACTGCCCTATAGGAAATATACTGTTTGGGAAACTCGTACCCACAGCAGCGTGACAGTAGGAGAACACGTCCGTTCCCGATGCTCCGTCTTTTACAAGCCTCAAGTATTTTTTTCCTCATGATTTCTCTTGCTTGCTAATTTGACTCAGAGCCACTTAACTGGGGTGGTTTTGTTTTATTTCCATTTTTAATTTTGTTAGTCCTTTCTGTGCTTAAACTGTAGTTATTTTAGCGGGGTGGGTGGCTGCCAACAGCACCACACAGGTCTAAAATGACGGAAAATAAAAGCCAGGGTATCTGCCGAAATGAGATTCAAGAAATGGTACCGGAGAAACCCAGCCATGTGTCTGTTCAGGCCGTTCAGCCTGGGCAGAAAATTGGTCCTGAGGCCCTGCCCTGGCGAAATGTAATAGATATTCTGAATCTTGCAGCCAGAAACGCTGCTGCTGTCCTCTTACCGGTAGCTGTCACCAGGCTGCTGAGATAAATAATTATAGAGTAGATGAAGGGCTTCATAAACGGGGGGCAGCGGGGAAACTTGTGCCATCAAAATGCAGAAAATAAAGTCTCTGTAGCCTCTTTAAGGGATTTTTTTTAAACCTTTTAACATTGTATTTGTTTTCATAGCCATTATGTTTTCAATTTGATGATCCCATTTTTCCTTCCTTTTTCTAGTAATCAGAGAAGGTGATTGGCGACGGACTAAAATCAAGCATAGTCCCTGCTGGAAACAGAAAGGGAATCTTAACTTAAATTAATTTTTCATGCAGGCAAAAGATCATGCAAAAATGGGAATAAAGGAGGTGAAAAACCGCTTGAAGCAAAAGGTACTTGAAGTTCTTATTCAAAATGTATAAGCACCGTGTATGAAATGCGTGGCCACAAAAAGTATGATGTGATCAATAGAGGGCTGTTTGATACAGTGTTGTTAGCACACTTCAAAATGCATTACCAGCTGTCCGGGAGCTTTCACACTGTTATAAATATTCACAGACAAAAAAAACTGTCTTCAAATAACATTAAGACTCTGTCTTAAACCCACAGAGGCAAGCAAGTTCAGAGTTACCATCCTCGGTCTGTCCCTTGCCCACCCCACTGGGCCCGGGTTCACTGTAGAAACTGGCTCGGCCTCCCCACCTCGGCACCACCCCCTCCTACAGCTGACCTCTGCCCTGGGGCTGGTTGTAACCAAAACCGAGAAGCGTCTCCAGGGAAATGACTACCAAGGTCCTGGCACATATGTGACCACCAGGCAGACACAGGGCGCAAAGGGTGGGTTTGTAGAGGATGCTGCGGGCCCGCTTCACAGTGGTGGTTTTAACCAAAGAGCCCAGCAGTTCATGTTTGAGACTCTTGAGGGGCCAGGAGAGGCTCTGCTGGTCTTATTGGACCACGGGTAAAATTGTGCGAAACCATACAGGCTGCACATCCTGGCTAAGAGTCCCCCTGCCTGGTGCTCTAGACTTGTACAGGGACTAATGTAACACAGAGGGCGTGTTCATATGATTACGAATGTCATCGCCATTGCTATTGTTGCCACCCTTAACTAAGCACTTACCAAGGATAGCCCAGGCTTGGAACTTCTGCATTTAATCCTTAGAGCCACCCTGGGGGGTATTAATGCCCATTTCATGTGGAAGGAGATCACGGTTCAGAGGTGAAACCATTTGCCCAAGGGTCATGCTGTTTGAGCTGGCAGAGTCCGGATTAGATTCTGGATCTATCTACTTCCGCGGCTGTGCTCCTGCCACTGCAGTGTTTTGTCCTGCCTTCCTGAAACAAGTGGTTTGGGGGTTTCTCTTGCCAAAAGATGTTTGGGGTCGCTTCCTTCATGACCCCACTCACCTCAAATGTGCCAGCCTGATAAGGGCCTGTGTCTATCTCGGCAGTTATTTAAAAATTGAAAGCAGTTTTAATTTTATGAAGTCAGAAAGGACCTCCAATTAACTTGAAGTGGCCGAAGGAATTGATTCCTTTCTTTTAATTGCAAAATAATTCGCTCTGACTAAGCATTTAAATTCTTAGCTTCAGCTGAGAGTGAGTTTTTCACAGCTGAGATTCATGTCCTGAAATAAAACTCCTGTGCTGTAAATGCAGATAGACCTTAACTGTGGGCTACTGCACCCTGCCAGAGATTGACAGGTGGAATTCTCAGATGTTACTTAAGTCCCTAAATATACCTTTTTATGTCCTATCCCAGTTGCAGGTGATGAATTGGATTGCTGATATAAAATAGAGTGGCAGGGAGGGGGAATTCCCTCCCCAGGTTTTCCCTCCTTGATGACTAGATCCTAGGCTCCGGCTGGTATTAGAATATTAGTGGAAGTAAGCAAAGAAAGGAGTCCCCCCTCGGGCAGAGGACAGACGTGCCTCCCTGGTCAGATCTGCCCCCCGCAGGTCACTGCCTACCTCCTCATACGTATAAGCGTTAAGAAAATCCCCTTTTTGTGATGTGTAACATTTCTGCAAATAACCCGTTAAGCTCAGGTGTTTTGATGATGTTGCTCAGAGGTCCCCTTAAACCACCTAGATCTCTCTCTTTCCTCACCATCTACCTTTCCTTTCTGTCCTCGGAAGTATCCAAAGCAGATTTTTTTTTCCCTCCCCGTCTCCTCCTTCCCCTGCCAGCCTTTTCAAGAATAGCTTCAGGAGCTAATGTTCTATAGAGAGTGTCAGTGCTTTTCAGGTGACACAAATGGTGAAGGCATTTTATAGAAATGTGGCTTGTCACCATCGGACTGTTGACAGATCCATTAGTGCACCCTTTTCAATTTTCACTTTCCCCTGCTCCGTCTTACTGATTCCTCCAGACTTGATACTTTGCAGTTGTTCTTGGAGGAGCTCTTTTGTAATGGAAACTCCAGCATTGTTCCGTGCAGACAGGCCTTGGTCTTCTGCAGGGCTCTCCAGCTCCTTTTCTTGGGCTAATTTAGGATCTGGCTTCATCTGACCTCTCTCACCCCAGTAGAAAATATTTCCATGGCTTTTTTTGTTCCCCTTCATATGGCAACATATCTGTGTGGCTCCCCAGATACGTGTAATGCAGACATCTCAAGTTTGGTTTCTGCTATGAAATTGAGGCAGTTCCCAACAAAGATCCAATTTTCAAATGTGCTGGGCTGCCACCTGGCCTCTCACTCTGCATAGCAACGGCGGCCTCGCACATATAATCAAGAACCCACTCTTGCCCTCTGTGCTCTCGCCTTGGGTTTGAATTGCAAATAGAAAATGTGGGGCCGACCTATGGGGAGGTCACCATGGTGTGTGGAGGATCCATCTCTAATATGACTGAGCAGGGCCCCTTCTTCATCCCTTGTTCATTTGTGCTGCAGATTTTCAAAGCATCGGAAACAGGAGCTTTCAGGGTGTCCGTGTGCGTGACCATTGGCAAATGACTGTACTAGACACTGTCATGTGGCTTTATTCCATCCCTGCTCTGCGTCAGCCCAACGGCAAAAAAAGAAGGATGGATAACATATTTCTCTGGATAAATGGAACGGGGTGGTCAAGTGCTTCCATAGCGTGGCCCCCTTTGAGGTCTGACTTGCTCAAAATTAGGAAGAAGAGAAATGGTAAAGACGCTGCCCAGGCGTCGCTTTCTAAAGGGAAAACGGAGCACTGTCCTCTAGAGCGCCTCCTGTCAGACCTGGGCTCGTGACTGTCCACAAATTGCATCCCGTCGCAGCACCACACAGGCTGGCATTGGAATGCCCTGTTTCATAATAAAAGCGATGGCTGCACACACGTCCTCCTCACCTGCGGGGAACACATAAGGATGTCTTTTTTTCTTTCTTTTGTTTTCTTTCTTTGTTGGCCTATTGGGGAACCCCTGAAAAATGATCTTTTTTTCTTCAGTATCAAAATGATTTCACCAAATCAACCCATTTCACAGCTCCTTTTAAAGTTTCTAAATCTTTGCTCTTTCAAAGATGAATCGAGCTTGCTGATTTAGTTTCTGTGATTCAAAGGATCCAATCCACAGCTGGGTTAGTGAAGACTTGAGTTTCTGGCCAGACATTTCCTAGTGGATTGAAAGGGGTGAGTGAGCACGTGTGGGGCAGGGAGATCTAGGTAGACTTGTAGAATAGACATTTTCACACCTTATTACACAACCGTCAGCTCCCTGTCTCCAGTCACATTGAAATACGCTGCAGCCTCAGTCACAGAAATTCCAGCTTTGGATACTATGTTGATATCAGTATTCATATTTTAATTTGCTATGGTGTGAAGCGGACTGGAAAAGAGGGCGCTGCCCAAATCTGAAAATGGAGACCAGCCATCTATCTGAGTCAGAGGTGGTAAGGCCTCCGCCCCTCACCCACAGGGTTCTCTAAACCCCAACACTGTGGCCTGGTGTTTCTGAGGCAGACGAGCTGGCTTCAGTGCTGGTTGTATAACATAGTAACTGTGTGACCTTGAGTCAGTGACTTGACCTCTCTGAACCTAGTTTTTCTTATCTATAAATTAAGAGAAATTAAGATTTTTTTTACTGGATTGTTCTAATGATTAGAAGAGGTAATGGGTTTAAACAGCCACATTTAGTAGCCACCCAGTAAATTCAAGTTTCCATCCTGTCCGTTTTCTTATCCCCCACATCTGGAGAAGCCAGTCTGCCCAAACCACCATGTCCATGGGCTCACCTCCCTTTCGGCCATCCACACAGCCACTTGAGCTCCCTTTCTAGAACACGGCTCTAACTGAGCCCTCTCCTGGTTAAAACCTTTCAGACTTCTCAAACCTTCTATCTCCTTGGCCAGAGTGTTCCTGGAATGCCTCAGCTGCAGGACCGTCCGCCACCCCTTAACCGGCTGTGCTTTCCAGCTCCCCTGGGCTGGGAATGCTCTACTCACATCTCTGCCTCATGGGCCCACATCCTCAGCTCCTTCCGTGTCCAGCCCCCACCCAGCTCCTACCCAAAGCCACTGAGAGGCCCCGCCTCCTCTGGCCCCTGCCTCCTGGCTTCTTGTGGCTACTCTGTCCAAAGACCTCACATGCCGTCCCTGCCTTCTCCACAGACAGGCAGAGATTTGATCTCAGGCACGTTGTTTGATTGCAGCAAATGCTTAGGGAAGGGATAGGAACTGAACTATTTTCTGACCCCTTTGCTTTACTGAGAGATGGGAACTCATAGGACCCCAGTGCTCTGGGAAAAGATGTGCCACCCCATGGTGGCCTCTGACCTGCAGCTCTGTCTGGTGTCCTTCTGTGTGACCTTCAGGAGGGAACAGATTTACCCTCTCCTGTCAGCCTCTTGGTTTTGCTTTTTTTAAATGACATTTCGATGGTCAGGTGGTTTTTTTTTTCTGTTTACAAACAAAAAAACATTTACTGAAGAAAATAAATATCAGACAAGCACAAAGAAAATGATCTCATTTTGTAACCTGCATTTTTACTCACTGTATCCTAAACATTTCCCAGACACTGTTTCTTCCACATGTCATTGCTTTAAATAGCTACATAAAATTTTATCTGATGGGCATATATATATTACTTAATCCCATTGTTAGACACTCAGGTTAGTTCCAATTTTTTTTCTAGGCAAATGCCCTCACAGATAAAACCTTACAGGAATTCTTAATTATTTCTTCAGGATAAATTTCTAGAAATTAATGGACCAAAGGGCATGCCCCTCTTTTAGGGTTTTGATATAAACTGCCAATTCGTATTCCCACTGGAGGCTATGAGAGTGCCTGTTTTCTTCCTGCCCTTTGCTGGCAGCTCCTCAGTCAGCTCTTAGACCACGATTTCTTTAGTCATAGGTACCAAGACTTGGTGTTACTGGATCCCTACTATGTGTAAGATCTCCGCTAGTAGATACCGTGGAGGATGTGAACGGGCCCTATTTCTTTCTTAACTGGGGCTCCTCCCAGACTCTGCTCTCCAGGGATCAAGCAGTTGTGAAATAGTGTAGGAGCTAATACGCTGGTGGGACAAGCCTTGGGACTTTGTAAGAAGTCTTTAGCATCTTCATTGAGGTCTTCTAACTAAATAAAAGTAATGTGCTGCACTGCTTTTGATACACAAGCACATGAGTATATTAGACATATTGGTCTTCCAAATGTGCAGCTCAACTTGACAAAGATTTATCTGAAAGCATGGGCTGTATTCAGGGCTCTGGGGCAGAGAACCCAAACCCCAAGGAATTCACAGTCTGTAGGGATAAGAAGATAAGTAAGTGCCCAGATATCGTAAGGCATGGCAGCATAGCCTCATGTAAGGAAGGGCGTTTCTGAGGTCACAGCTGATGACTTGCTGAGCACCTCATCTCAGCACACCTTACCTTGTGCTAGTGTTAAGGTTGATAAGCTATTTTTTTTTAAGATTTTATTGGGAAAGTGGGGGAGGGGAACAGACAAGTTGCTGTCCTTTTGTTCTTCAGTCTAGTTGTGAAGGACGTCGCTTCACTGGCCTATGTTGGTATTATAATTGTGCTCTTCCCGGATGAGGCAAATCGGTCACCAGCCGTTGGATGGCCGCTCACGGCAGCTCATGCCAGCTCACGCCAGCTGCTGGCCACACACGGTAGCTTACAGCAGCCCATTTCAGCCTCATTGCAGCCTATGCCCTCGCCAGCGACTCACGGTAGCCCAGCTCCAGGCCGAGCTGTTGTTCACCATCTTAGCTGTAGAGGGTGCAGCGTCACTGGCCCCCATGTGGGACCCAAACCTGGGCCCTGCTGCTCAGAGCTGGCGTCCCAAGCCAACTCTTAACCAACGCGCCATTCGGCCGGCCCAAGGTTGATAATCTTTAAGTGCCAGAAGTCACATAGCTCTGGGTTCCTACACTTTCTAGCTGTGTGGCCTTGGGGAAGTTGCCCTCTCTGAGCCCCCATTTCCTCACCTATAAGAGGATGAGACTCCTGTTTACGTCATGGTTGTTGTGGAAACTAAGTGTGATAGTGAAGGTCAAGTGCTGGAAAAGTGCCTGCCAGTAGGAGGCGCTCACCACAGGGCAGCTCTTTTTCAGACAGTGCACTTCCCATTTTGCAGCAACAAGGATCTAACGTTCAGTGTGCACAGTACTGTAACATTTTTCAAAGCTCCTCGTCCCATTTAACCCATTGTCCCAGTGGCTTTGAAGTTTCCCAAGCAGGTGGTGGTCTCCCCATTGTAAAAATGAAGAAATAGGTTGCAAAGAGGTTGAGCGAATTGGGAAGATCAGACAGCTAGTTAGTGGTAAAAACAAAACTAGAAGACAGTGTTTTTGCTCATAAGCTTAAACTAAGACCCTTTTCCCAAAACTACCACATTCATTTTTTTAAATAGCCGTCATCTTACAGTTTTCATCACTATTAATATTTTTACCATATCACCTTACTGCTCCTTTTTTTCCAGCCAATCATTCACACACACATGCAGTATTTTTCCTGAACAATTAAATAAATTTTTTTACTGTTTGGCTTTACTCGAGCTCTTGTGTCTGTCCTCCCGGTAACCCCACTGGATCCAGGATGCCCCTTTTGCCCTTTGTCACTTTCTGGCACAGAAGGGGCCCCTCCCCCTCTTTGTTCCACTTGACCGGAGCACCTTAGGGCAGCCCCTTTCCAAAAAAGCCACTTCTAATTGGCGGTCGGCAGCCTCTCTCATCGTTCAGCCTCAACCAGGCCAACACTTGGGGGCCACTTGATGCAAACCTTGCCTGCAAAACCAGAACTCCTCATCCCGTCTTGTTACCAAGCAGTACAGAGGCTGCAGCTGGGTGTGTGGGGTTGACTTTACATACACATGTATGTCGAAAGAGAAGTTCCTGTAGTTTACTGAATACCTTATTAGTAGGTCCTCAATTATTACTGAGTACCATATGTAGTACATTACTAATAATGTTCTAGACACTTCTACGTTACATTATCTCCTTTACTCCTCGTAGCAGCCATACCCCCATTCTACAGATGGGGAGACTGAGGCTCACAGAGGTTACATATGTTTCATACTTAATGTGTTATTATTCAGTAAGGGACCCCTTTCCTCCATATGCCACCATTCTCTTTGGCTGAGAAATTAAGAGCAACCAATGGTCAAGTCTTTATGTGCAGAACTTAATGAGCGCTAAAGGGTGTGTGTTTTGTTGACCAAAGTGCGTATTTATTTTTGCAATTAAAATAATGGGAATTGTGTTATTTCTGTGAGTTATTTCACTTGAATAGTGATTTAAATGTATTTTATTTATATATGTATTCTCTGCCTTGCTCCACCAAAGATTTAAACAACTTTCATGGCTTGAATTAAGGATGTGGCCCTCACTGCAAAAGCAGGTACCCAGCGAACCATGTATGGTCGCCTGCCAGCGTCAGCCAAAGGAGCCCTTACCCGCCTTTTGCACGTTGGGGTTTCTCCTTTCCTTATCATTTGACTTCAACAGAAGCACAAATTAGATGTAAATTTCTGAATTTAAAAATTACTTTGGCTCCCTAAATTTTCTCCAAGTCACAGAACCCTAACTCTGACTTCAGTGTCTTCTAGAAAGACAAACGGTAGCATCACCAATAAACAAATGTGGAAGAAATGTCTGCACTCTCAAATAATCAAAGTAATGCAAATTAAAACAACAATGAGGTCTAATTTTTCACCTCTTAAATTAGCGATACATTTTTAAAACGATAAGGCTAACAAGTGCTATGAAACGGATAACACATCCATTGCTGGCAGTGGTGTAAATTGGAAAGCAATTTGGTAGAATGAATAAAAAGCCTTAAAAATGTTTATATCTCTTGACCTAGTAATTTCATTCCTAGGGATTCCCATAAAAGAAATAATCCAAAAGAAAGAAAAACTGCAGTGTGGTGTTTGGAGGGGAGAAAGTAACAACCTAAATGCTTGATAGTGGGAGAATGGCTTATTAAATTATTGTATATCCGCTCAATGGAATATTATGCATCCATTAAAATTATCATTATAATGACTGCAACACCATGGAGATGTTTATAATATAGTAGGAAAAAAATAGAATGTAAAATTATGCATGAGCTGTGATTGCAAGTAATTTTTAAATGTCTGCATGTGGACAAAGTGAATATGTAAAACTGAAAATAGCCGTGTAAGGTAGTATGATGAAAGGGGTTTTTCCCCCCCCTCCAGTATTGTGAACTATTATGTTGTCTTTGTAATTTAACATGTGTGGTTTTGATTTCTCTAGTCCTTCAAAGTCAAAGAGCCAAGATAGCCTTCCGTGTCCCTCACCCCTAGCAGGATAGGTTCTAAATGACCCAGAGGGAGTTCCATGGCAGGCCTGTTAGCGTTGGGGTTGGAGGCAGCACCTGTGCTCACCGTAGGTGCCAAGACCCTGACACCGCCCCCTCCCCATTGGCTTCTCCCCACAGGACATCGCTGAGAATGGCTGTGCCCCCACCATGGAAGAGCAGCTGCCAAGGACTGCGCCATCCCCGCTGGTGGAGGCCAAGGACCCCAGACTCCGAGAAGACCGAAGGCCAATCACAGTCCACTTCGGACAGGTATGTACCCTGGGCCTCTGGCTGGTCTGGGTTTGTCTGGGTTTGGTTTTTAGCAGAAGCTGTAGCATGTGCAGCAGGCGGTTTTCCATTTCAGTTCTCTTTGGCAAAGCAATTCCATGGAGTTTGCACATCTTCGAATGTTTATTTGGTGCGAACATATTCTGAAGGGGAATTTTCAAAATTTTGGAGGAGACAGCATGGCTGTGGTCACAAACTAGCTGAACTCCTGAGTGAAGCCATTAAATGCAGCTGCTGCCTCCCCAACTCCAAGGCACTCCGTTTAAGGTGCCTCCGTTAGCTAAGCATCTCATTAGAACACTTTAGCATCTCAGGCCCTTCTTTGCACCTTCAAATAAAAGGCAACAAGCGAAGTCTTAAAAAAAAATCAATTAGGAGTTCTTTATTAATGTACTTCCTGAAAATCAATATTGGGAGTCGTGCGTCTCAGAGTAAACACCCCACACTGTGGTTCTAGAGAGATGCGGTTCTTTAACCAACTCTTCGACAACCTGAGCGTTTGAAAATTGTCTATTTGATTTTTTTTTCTCTTAAGTAAAACATTGTACTCTGTATAGAAACTGACATTTTTTTATCCATTTCTATCGGTGATTATATTTTTGGTTGCAAAAATATATATACCCTCCCCGACTTCTCTTGAATTGACTCTCTCGGTTAGCAAAAGTCATGATTTTTTGGTTTAGGAGAAATGGCTCCATTAGCAAGATATGCCTGTAACAAGAATTTGCAGGGTTATTTATCCTGAAATCACCTGAATCTTTAGCCATTTATTAGATGAAGCATGATTAAAATAGCCTATGATGTTATCTTAGATGTGACTGCTGTTTTATCACATAAAGGAGCTAGAAGCATGCATGTAAAATGTTCCTGTTTTACACAGACTCTTATCAAGTGCCTACTGTGTACCAGGCATTGGGCTATTTAGAAGTGAGGAGATCTAATGCAGTTGTTGCTGTGGGTTATAATTGTCAGGAGTGAGTTTGTTAAAACATAAGAATCTTCCTCTGCAATCAATAATTTCAGATAACACATTCATACATCTTAAACTTGGGGAGGTTCGCCCCGCCCTTTCGGATTTTACACTTTAAAAGGGATGTTATAAAAATTGAAATGTCGCATGAGAGAAATGTGTCCACGTGGCAGTGCTCATTTGGTTAATGGTTCCCGTGAAATCCCTGGCGCTTACACCCCTGAGGAGCTGCCTCCCGGGGCTGAAGCTCCGATGGAGAGCCCTGTGCCCCGGTCCTCGGCTGGGCTTGCTGAAAGCCCAGCCCCTGGTCTTCGCCAGAGTGGCATTCCAGAGCCAGCTTCCTGCCTTCCTTTGTCCTCATTCCTGCACACACTAACCTTCCCATGAAAAGAGCCCCTCGCTGGAGTTTGGAGCCCGTTACAGAGAGAGAGGGGGCGGGGGAGAGGGATTTCATGGTGTTAAACATTCCATTTTCGAAACACAAAAAAGGAGGCCCTATTTGAAATGGAGAAAGACCTTCTTTCCATTTCAGCAAGGAGTAGAGATGCTTTAATGTCATTCCCAGCTAAATGCAGAATAAGAGTGTGTGTGCACGCGGGTGGGGGATAAACAATTAAAAAAGCCACCCCAAACTCTGTTGAAATAAGAGCTGTCTGTGCCTTCACAGGTCTGTAAACTGGAGAGGATGAAAGTGGCTTTTTTTCCTCCCGTTTGTCACTTCCCTCACGTGGCTGCCAGCCAGCATTATGCAAGTGTGCAGGAAGGCAGGGTTTTTTTTTTTTTAATGCATGCATGCGGATTAAGGTCAAGCCCCGAGTATCAGCCATGCAGCGGGCTTCCCCCTTCCAGCTGCAGCCGCAGAGCCAACCCACAGCCTCGAGATGCCTTAATTGAGACGTGCTGTCAAAGTGACAAACACATTTGCATACAGTCTACACTCTATTTATTTTCTCTGGAAAGGTCTACAGTCTGCTGTTGGTTGAACATTCTTAATCAGTTTGCTGTAAGTGAACTGCCAGCGAGCTCACTTGTGCTGGCCGCTTCTTCATTAGGTGACAGATTAGCCGCCGGGGGGGATGGGCCCGGGAAACCACAGACCCTTTCTTTTAACTCTTTCCAGCTTTGGCCCCGTGCTAGGTTGTCCTTCAGCCCTTCCCCAGGCGCAAGGTTTGATGGGCCACTGACCGTAATGGGCAGCGTTTCAAGAGCGCCTGCTACTGGCAGGCGTGAGTTTTAGGGACTTTACACTTAACCCTCTTCTCCAAAAACAGTCTTTTGAGTTCCATTTCAGAAATTTTGCCACTCTCTCTTACCTTCTGTACTATTTTTTTTTAGTTGGTATTTTCCTTTAAACAAACTCAGACCTGACATCTGTACTAACTTTAGCCTCGTCTTAAGCGATGATGTTGGTAAAATCATAGGTTTGATATACTGGTCCAAGTTTCTCCTAAGGCATATACTAAAAAAAAAAAATTTAGGTGTCCATTTATATATTACCTAAGCCGCTCATGGAGCCCCAACGGTATCCATTCTCCTCTGGAAACATGCATCATTTCTGCCCCTGGGAAAGGATCATTGGCTGCATTTTGTGGTCGCGGAGCTGGAGCTCGGGCACCTGAAGGCACCTGCCCAGGACCACGTCACCAGCACAGACACCCAGGACAGCCTGACCACAGCTCCTTCACCAAGCAGAGACTTCAGCTGTGTGATAGTTCTGCTTAAGCTGTGTCCCAGTACAATCATTTGAACCAGCCGGACAGTACACGCCAGCCCCAAAAAGACCCCTGCCCCTCTGCCTTGAGTTTGCATTTCTGTGGATTTTATTCTTTAACAAAACTTAGCTTTCCGATGGGGGCAGAGGCTGTTGAAATTGTGATTAATTCAGCTCCTCCACCTCGCAGAAGCAGTGCCCATGTGGCCAGCCAGGAGTGCCCCATGGGGACCTTTGGCAGGGTGACAGGCATCCTGGTGAGGCCTTTGCAGAGCCCTCAGACAGCAGCTGCGGGGGTGGGG